CTGTCATAATGAGCCACTCTTTCATATGCTACTAATTGGATATTAACTGATTGGCATATTAGTTACTTTAATGTTGCCTGTTGCTTTACCTGTACCCAGGAGAAGCATATTTACTCTTTTCCTTGTAGCCTCCTGTGAACTAATGTACAGAGAAGGTCCCGACGGTCATCTGTCAGAGCAGATGTGACCTTTAAAATGATTTATTGCAGTAAATATACCGTAAGTTTTCACTACTTACAGGCCGTGCATGGTGTGTGGCACGAAACTAGTTTGGTCTGTAGCAATTACAACATTTTGTGATGGGAGAAGTTTGCCATTTGCTTTGTGTGATGTATACGTGCTCCTGAGTGAGGGAAGAAGGTAAGTCTTTGTGGTCACTAACTGTCTGTTAAAACCTTCAAGCAGAATTGGGCTTGTGCTATTTCAGAGCTCTCCAAAAGGTGCCTTGTACCTTCCCTTGGCTGGTGTAAGAGGAACTGGGGTAAGCAGATGTATTTTGAGTGGCAGTCCCACACTCTGGCCTTGAACCCCATCTCTCTTCATTGCACTGGGGCAAGCACACTGTAAATAACAAGGCAATATTTATGCCATTTAATGCATTTCTTTCCTTGAAGCACCAGCTTAGTGAGAACAGGGACTGAGAAAATTAAGCCTCCAAGTGTGACTGAAGCATTGAACACGGAGTTTGCAACACTGGAGTAGTAACGAATGGTCAGAGTGACAGGAGAGGACCATTACGGCTGTGTGCTCCCATCCCAGATTGCCTTGGCACTAAAGCTTCAGGTTAGTGACTAGGGGAAGAAGCGTTCACTCTGGGCTGTATTTTCTGAACAAGGCGGTGTGGGAAACGGCATTCCCGAATCGTGCCAGAAGTGGTGGCACTGCAAAGGGCCGGGAGCAGCTACAATCCTTGTTCCCCCCACACACGTTTGCTAGCGCTGCTTTAGCTTTCCGCTCGGTTAGCGCCGAGAAGGGCGGGGTGGGACAAAGAAGATGGAGGGCAGCGCGCTTACCGGCTCGCCGGGCACAGCCCCGGTGGCTAATAGAACGAGGTAGAAAGAAGGAGGGGGGGAGGTCCGCAGCCCGCGGGGGTGCGGGCAGGTGCTGGGTTTGCTGCGGGGTGCGGGCGGTGCCTCCCTATCCCAATCGCATCCCGATCCCATCCCCGACAGCCGCCGCGCCGCAGCAGTGGGGCCCGGTCCCCCCCCCCTTTCCCGACTCCCCTCTCCCGCGCCGCAGGTCCCGCCAGCAGCGCGCGGCGCCGCGCCCGCAGTGACGTCTCCTTTGCGCTAATTTGCATATCGGCTCTTTCTCCCTTCCCCATTGCACGGCGGCCGCTTTTTATCTGCATCCCGCCAGGCTCTCAGCCAATGGCGGCCCGAGCTAGCGCGGCCCCTTGCTGGCGGGAGGGACGGGAGCGGCCGGGGGCGCCCCGGAGCGCATGCGCTGTGATCTTCACCCGCGCCGACGCCGCCGTTGGTGTCGGCGCTGCCCCCTCCGTGGGCCGGGCTCGGCGGGGCTGGGCTGAGCTCTGCGGGGCTGGGCTGGGCTCCGGGCAGAGGGAAGAAAGGGAGGCGCGCAGGGCTGGCTGCTGCTCCCCTTCCTGCCATTGCGGAGAGCAGGGCTCGCCTCCCCGCCGTGCCGCGCCCTACCCTACCCGAAGGAGCCCCCCCCTCCCTTCCTTTCCTTGGGATTGCGTCCATTCGGGATCGGGGGATTGATTTTTGGGTTTATTCTATTTTTTTTTAATTTCTCTGGTGGAGGGGAGGTCGGGGAGCAGCTGCTGCACGGGAGACAATAGCGCCACAGCAGCGGCCCCGCTTCCCCATCAGAAATAATAGAGGTATTATTGAATAACTGAATTGGGGAGCGCATTCCCAAGATGTCTTATCAGGGGAAGAAAAATATCCCACGGATCACGGTGAGTGGAGCGCACGGGGATGGGAGCGGGGGAGGGGTGTGCGGGGATTAAGCCCTTTGTGTGCGCGGGGAGCGGTGGCGGGTTCCCGGCGGGATAATGGGATCAGGCTGCAGCAGCGAGGAGGGGGGAGCGCGGAGCGGGGCGAGGCCGTCGGCAGCACCGGTGTCACCGGGGACAGCGGAGCCTCGCCGCGGGGATGGAGCCCCCAGCGCCCGGCGGAGGCGGCTCGGAGCCCCGCGGCTGGCGCTGGGGATGGAGCGGGGTTGGTTTTCCTTCCCCGAGAAGCTTCTCGCAACGCGCCCATTTCCCGGTGCGATCCTGGGGGAGAAGGGAAGGAGCCGTTATATAAACCCCTCCCTTGGTTCCTTCATGGTGGGAGCTGATTTAGGGCAGGTACTGCGCTTCCAGCGATGCTAACTTCTTACGTAAGAGAAGATCTTCGCATCTAACGGGCTGCAAGAGCCCGTTTATGTTTTTGACACAAGAGTTTTTCATTATTGGCAGCGGTTCCTTCTCCCAGCCCCGTGGACACACCCATCCTCATCCTCCTTCTTCCCCAGCCTCGGAGGCAGGAAAGTGAGCTCAGAAATGGAGCTTTGATGTGTGACATTGGTGCAGGAGCTGCTGGGCTGCACAGTTGCGTTTTAAATGATGTGTAGGAGGTGCAGGGGATGCACAAAATCGCGATGTGAGAAATGGAGCAGCCTCTCTTTTTGTTTGGGAGGGCGGTTAGCTTCCCTCCTCGAGCCCGATGGAAGAGAGTTTAAAAAGATGCCTCTGTTGAAACGATGGAGGTTACAGCTGAATCACTGTCATGAGCCAAAAGTAGCGTGACGCATTTTCCTTACGACTGAGCGCTCTGATTGATGCTGCGTGCACCCGATGCGATTCCGCAAAGATAAGGGGTAGAAAAAACATCACGTTCTGGTCCAATTTGCTGTTGTGTAAACCTGGAATTCATTCCCCGAGACAGATGCTTGAAGAAAGAGGCTAATCCATGCCTGGCTATCCTGTTCTCACTGCACCAGCAGGGTAAATACGCACAGATTCAGCAGCAGGCCCTTGCGCGGGTGCAAGCTGCGAGCGCTTTTGTCTCCGAGGTGGTTGAAATGAGCAGAGGGGTTCACACTGGTTTCAGAGCCCACCACACAGCTGCAGCAGGAGACAGCAGAAGCGTTCCCAGCATCATTACAATGCTCCACTCTGCAGTTTTATTGCTTATTATATGTATTTATTTTTCCCTCCTTTCCTAATCGCTGCCCACTGCATTAGGATGCCACACAGCTGCAGCAGGAGACAGCAGAAGCGTTCCCAGCATCATTACAATGCTCCACTCTGCAGTTTTATTGCTTATTATATGTATTTATTTTTCCCTCCTTTCCTAATCGCTGCCCACTGCATTAGGATGTGGGCTGTCAGTGACATCCATGGCCAGACAGCCCCATTTCAGTAGTAGCTGGCTGTTTCAGTATCACAAGGCGTCTGCACTAGAGGTGGGCATCAATACTGCAGTGTCTCTGGAGATGGTAAACATGTAGGACAGTTTGCTGTAGAGCCCGCCATTGAAAGACAAGCGGGTTTTTCACGCCCCAAGTGAATTCATTCAGGCTTATTGGCATTCACAGCAGATTCTATATTTAAATCTTGGGGTTTTCTTTCTTTGTTCTTTTTTCTAAATGGGTGGCGTTACGCAGGGAAACTCCATTGCAGCAGTAGGAGGGAGGAGAAGGAGAAAAAGGAGGAGAAAGAAGAGGCGCTTAACATCTCGTAGCTGTTCAGCAGTTACATAAAAGGTGGATATAATGATATAAATCAGTAGCTGATGCAGTTCATGTCGCCCTTTTGTCATTGAAGAGCCATGTCAGCTTGTGTCAGTTGAGAACCAGGTGCTCCAACTGTTCAGTTTTATTATAAGCTCTTTAGCAAAACGCCTGATTCTTTTCTTCTGTTTGACCAGTGGAGTCCCAGCTTGAAATAAGGGCCCTGAGCACCACTGTCACTGTCTTACATATACTTACGAGAAGTAAATGGGCACCACCAAGTCAAAGTCCTGCTTTCCACCCGTCCCTGAAGTCAGGTTTTGGTTTCGCCAGTCTTTGGCAGTGCTGTTCTGGTTCTTTGTTCCCTTACCAAGATGTTTTGGGGAGGAGGAAAGAGAATGAGACTAAGTCCGAGTGCAGATTTCAAGGGCCATGGTGCAGTTTAAACTGAACACTGCATAAGGTGTATATGTCCCTAATATAGGGAAGATGGAACCAGAGGATCACAGCAATAGCACTGCAGTGTGTTTCACCCTGGTTTATGACTATTGCATAAAAAGATGAGTTTGGTTGTGTCCTGAAACCTTGCAAAAATGAGATGTGGCTTGGGCTGAGGTACAGGCACATCTGCTGGCTGCCTGGTTGCAGTTACCTTTCTGTTCCTGTCAAACTGCCTTCTCATTTGAGGACATTTTAATAACCATTTTGTTGAATCCTTCTCTTCAACTGAATCTGAGCTTATTTCCATCTGATGAGGCAGTGGTGCTCTGGAAAGGCAGCAAGAGGATCCACTGCATCGAAACATCACTCAGTTGGCCAAAACGAGTTTGTTTGTGTTGTGTAACTCGTGGCAACAGACTTTTGGTCCATCTCCCTGACAGCAGTTGACTCGCAGTGAGCCAAGCCCTGACTCCAGTGTGTGGGTGCGTATAGGAAAGTGTGCTTATGACCAAGGCAGGGCAGAAAATAAGAGATGTGGCTGTTACACATCCGTCACAGTATTATTTAATGCCTGTGCTGTAGGTGATGGTTGCAAGCTGCAGGTATGGGTGAAGCTGCCAAGTGGACAAGCCTGCTGGAATCCAACTCCCTTTCTATTCTCATTCTTTTTTTGGATCATTAGTGTGATGAAAGGGCTTGCAGATGAAATAAGGTATTTTATCTTCCCAGTTGAAAGTGCAGCAGTTGACTTGTGTTTTGACGTGTACTTCTGAATAATGCAGAGGATGCTTCCATCTCTTTTATCTCTGAGGTGACACTGCAGGCTGTCAGCTTTCTCATAGCATAACCATGGCTTGTTGTATGCTTCTTTGTTGCAGAGTGATCGTCTTTTGATCAAAGGTGGTAAAATAGTGAATGACGACCAGTCTTTTTATGCAGACATTTACATGGAAGATGGGTTGATAAAGTAAGTGAAGAGTAATAACCATGTTGCAATTGAAAATGTGCAGAAATATGCTGCAGATTAACAAGGGATAACTCAGTGACCTATATTAAATTGCAAGAAGTGAGTTTTCCATGGTGTTTGATGGAGGAACTTTACAAACAAGGTGTTGAATTAAATAAGCAAATGGGCCCAAACCCCACTGTTACTAAAGCATGGGTCAGAGGAGGTACTTGGGCTTAATTTTAGCCATGTGCATAGCCCCGTGCTGAGGCGACACATATGTTAGAAGTTATCTGTGTTGTAACATTTTACCAGGCTATGACTTAAGATTTTGAAGCCAGAGTTCAGCATCTTAACACAGTTAATTCTGGTTTTGGGTAAGAGGCTGGACTTAGGTGACCTCTTGAGGTCTCCTGCGGTGCTGTCTTCTGTGGTTCTGTGATGCAAGGATCAGTCCAGTCCCCCTTAAAGTTAAAGGTCAACAGAATTCCAGCCTGGTTTGGGTTGAAGGAACCTTAAAGCTCATCCAGTTCCAACCCCTTCCACTGGAGCAGCTTGCTCCAAGCCCCTGGGTCCAACCTGGCCTTGAACACTGCCAGGGATGGGGCAGCCACAGCTTCTCTGGGCACCCTGTGCCAGCACCTCAGCACCCTCATGGAAGAGCTTCTGCCTAAGAGCTCATCTCAGTCTCCCCTCTGGCAGGTTAAAGCCATTCCCCTTGGCCTGTCCCTACAGGCCCTTGGCCAAAGTCCCTCTCCAGGTTTCTTGTAGGTGCCTTTTAGGTATTGGAAGACTGTTACAAGGTCTCCCCTGATCCTGTAGTTTAAGGATTGAGGTTCAGACCTCTTTCCAGCATGCTGCTGTGTTTTCAGTCCCAAAACATGTGTATCTGGCACGTTGAATATGTATTACATATCTCTTTGGAAAATTACTCCTAGGAAAAAAAGGATGAGGCAGAGGTTACAAACAAGGAATTTTCCTGTTCTGGCTGAAGGGGCAGCACATGTGCTTTGTTAATCAAGGTTAAAAGTTAAAGGAGCCAGCCAAAGACAGTTAATGAGTTGCCATAAATGTATCATCCACTGTTGCTCTTCCAAAAATAGGTTTGTGAAGAGCTGGACTGGAGAGGCCTTTGAGGGTCTCATCAGGGATTTGGTAACCAGTATCCTCATGGGTTTGTGTTTGTGCAGGGACTACATAATGCATGAAAGTAGACTATACAGAGGCAAAAGCTCTTCCGGTGCTCTCAAAACAATGCTAACATCAAAATTGCTGTTAGGCAGCTAGAATCAAGTGTTGAACTGGCACTTGGCAACCTCAGTCGAGTCCCAGTAGAGCTGCTCACAGGCTCTTGCTGGGTTTGGTGCAGTGATCATCTGCCAGTCTGGTTTCTTGTCCTTCCTGTTAAGTCTAATATTGTCCTGAGGTCCTGAAGTTAGTTGCACACTTTGCTCTTACTTGTACAAGTGCTTCGAGGGGAAGGATTGGAATTAAATGATCTTAAGGTCCTTTCCAGCACTAACCATTCTATGATTTTATGTATTCATCCTGATCCTGTAAGTTGCTTTATATGGAAAAAGAAAGTGCTAGCCAGGTTAAGTAGCACAGGGGTGTATGTTTACAGGCTGTTTGCCTTGCTTGTGTCTGACTTGCTGTTTGAAACCCATTTACCCAGGCAAATAGGAGAGAATCTGATTGTGCCAGGAGGAGTGAAAACTATTGAAGCTCATGGCAGGATGGTGATTCCTGGAGGGATTGATGTTCACACCCGCTTCCAGATGCCGGAACAGGGGATGACGTCTGCTGATGACTTCTTCCAAGGGACCAAGGCCGCGCTGGCTGGGGGCACCACCATGATCAGTAAGCTGGTTGTTTTTTCTCTTTCAATTTACTTCTCTCTTTCTCAGATAAGTTCAGAAACTGCAGGCTCTATAAGTCGTGTATTTTGGACCTGGTTGCTGAGATAAGCTTGTGTAGGGGTAGGAAAAGCAGTGGCAAAGCAGGACCCCAGGGTTTCTACATCCTACAGCTGTCAGGCATTCCACTCATCCTCTCTGCAAGATTTACCTTGTTACTTCAGATCCAGGAATCTGACTTAGGCAGATTCTTGGCTCTGCTCCTACTGAAACCAGTGTCACTTTGACCTCTGGTACCAGCAGCAGATTCTCCACATTGCTGTGCCCCAGTGCCTTTCTTCATGATGTCTATGGGTAGACGTCCATCGTATGGTTCACACCCAGAAGCTTGGTGTCCGTGTACTTTGGGTCTTTGAAAACCAGGCCACTTGTTTGAAGATTTGCACATAGCCATGTAGGTACACAGCTGTAGCACCAGGATCTGGGTTAGCACTGTGTCATAGGTGCTCATGTCCTCTTTTGGAGGAAGAGAGAAATCGGGCAATGAAAATATCTCAAAGCGACAGACAGACTGACTGACTGCTGACAGCAGGATCAGACACTCCCAGTGTTCCCTCTGGCTCTAAAATGCCTCACAAATGACTTCCAGGCCGTCTGTCCCCATTTGTGTTGGCTACAGATGCTTGGCTAGTCAGAGCCAGGATCTTGAAGCTCCATAAGTGAGTCATTGTTAACCTTGGTGGAGCTAGAGGCAAAAAATACAACCCTGTGTTGCAGTGGAGCTGATCATGTGTAAACTGTAACCCGGCGCCCTGGAGTCTGTTGCCGCATACGGGGATCAAGGATAAAGGTGTAAAGTGATACAGTAGTTGAGCGTCTTGCACTCTTTCATGTGCTCTGAGGTGCTGCCACTTCAGAGGAGGGGAGTTAAAGTACAGAGAAATACTGTCTGATCCACGGATATAAGGAGATCTTGGGCAGAGCCAGGAATCAGCCTAACTCCTTGGTTCAAACACAGCTCCTTATGGACTAGAAAATCCTCATCTCTTTGAGGGTGGTTATGAGTGATGCTCTGATGGGTGGGCTCTGACTGATTGACACGGAGGTTGGGAGTAGGAGCCAAGGGTCCAAATGCAGCTGGACTATTCGTGTTTCAAAAGCAAATCTTTTATTTTGGGTCTGGACCGTACTAAGAGGCTGTGTCTGGCCCATGAACTTGGTCTAATGCTTCAAACGGATAACCTTGGAATAACCCAGGAAATGATTTTTCATAATGTTATCACTTTAGAGTACTGTGTATGAAGATAACGCACACGTGCAGAGAACGCGAAGTGGGAGTGTAGCTGCGGATGGTCTCGTTCTGCTGCTAATATCCAGTTTTTCTTCAATCTTTGCTGTCAATTTAAATTAATAAGACTGAAATGGTATTTTCTTTTCAGCTTCAGTTCACTGACTTTGTTCATTGGCTGCTCCTTTGTCATTAGTACACCTGGTTCACACTAGAATTAGCACTTTGTTTTTCCTTGTTAAGCTGAGTTAGATCAAAATACCATTCTCTGCATTTGCATCTGCCCTTCCAGCAGCACCATTTCCCTCAGAGGCACTTTTTAAAGCATTTGGAGCAGAAATTGCTTAGGCAGAATTTTCTGCAGTGGCCCTTTGGTTGCTGCCTTTTGCCTGTGCAGGGCCTCATACTTCAGAAACGCTTAGGACCTTTCCCTGAAGGCATACCTCTGTACTGCCTTTGTGACTGTAGGGTCTGAATAGTTCAGAATTACGGAGATGGATGATGGAGAGACATCTCTGGATGGGTATCTGCAACTAGAGCTGAGGATAAATAATCCAGCTAGACTTCAGTGCCTCAGAGCCCCTGCTCTGTGTCAGCTCAGCTCTTCCCTCAGCAAAATTATACCATTGCAGAAAGGTTTTTCCACCATGAAGCTGCCCCAGTGAATGTGCTCTTGGTGGGTGGCCTTTGGTTTTTCCCAGAGCAGGTGGGAGTTGAGCTGTGGCTGATGGCAGCATTTTTGTGCTGTTAGGATAAATGGGATAGCATTTAGTGAACTCGACTCATAATATCACAACCAAATTTCAGCCTGAAAATGACACACTCGGGCTTGTCATTGTATATTTTTGTGGGAGAACCTCATCCGTGTTTCTTCGTTTCTGCTTTAAGGAAACTCTTTATGATTTATTTACAAATCCCTTCATCTGGTTTTCTCTTTTATACATAGCCCTCAGTTTGGGCAAGGAAACAGGTTAGTCGGCTTTCTGCTCCAATTTGTTTCACATTTCCATGCAGGAGGGCACTTCCAGGCTGTTTATGGTCACTGGAGGGAAATATTTGTTTTATGTACATTTTTCAGTGAAATGCAAACAAGAATCTTGGCTGGGGCTCTCTTGATCGTTGGATGTACAGAAACCGTGGGTGAAATCCTGACTTCAGCGAGGGAACCGAGAGTGGTGTCACTGAGCTCAGCAGTGCCAGGAGCTCCCCCTGCGTGTCTGCTTTGGTTTCAGTGAGCTGCATTTTGAGCTCAGCTCAACTTCGATGTTGTTCCTTTAATTCTCATTGCAAACACATCCAAAGGAAGCACACAGGAGTTCAAGAATGTAACCTATTGTTTCCAAGCCCTGTTCTCATTTGTTTCCTTTCCCTTTTAAAGTAAGTTCATTACTAGAGCATCAGAGAGAGGAGAATCTGACTCTCAAGTGGTATCAAATAGAACAGCCCCATTTTCTGTGTGGAACCAGTGGAGATCTATCCTGGTGGGATGCAGATCTCTCTCCAGTCCAGTGCTTTCTAGCTCATCCTCTGGTCGGCTGGGATGAGAGAGTGCCCTACATTACCTCTGTTCCCATTGGGCTCTCCAGTCCTGGCTTTCCTGCACTCTGCTCTGCATTGCTTCACTCACAAGTTGGGGCTGATTTGTTTTCCTAGCTGCTCATTTCACAGAGGCCACCTGACCAGGAATTCCAGCTGTGATCCTTCTGTCTCTGCCCTCTCCAGTGCCAAAGGCAAGACTCCAGCTGACTCTGCTCATGTAGGAGGAAACGGAGTTGGTTTTGCTGAGAGATGATGTATTGGGATAGCATTGGTTGTTCTTCTGAAATGGCAGTTTGCATGATCCTTTTTCTGTGCCTGCCTTAAGCCAGTTTCAGTGTGGATGTGTCAGCCGAGGGTGAAAGGTGCTGCATGTGTTTCAGGATAACATTTCTCTGGAAAACAAACACCCTTTTAACATGTCAGAGTGCAGAGTTTGGGCAACAAGTTGAAGGGAGGATTCCGGGATGCTCTGCAGAAGACTTTGGAGGAGAGAGGAGTGTTAGGCTCCAGCTGATCCTCTGATGTGTTTAATGGCCTAGTGAGAACTGCATCTCTCCAGACCAGCTCCCACGCACATTTCATACCCCCCTCCCAAAGACCATGCTTCTTCCTGGGTATCTGCTGGCCTTGAGAGAAATTGCTTGCTGACATTGCCTGTGTTGACTCAGTCAACCACTGTTATAATCATAGAGAGAAATTACAGTGAGAGAAATTATAGCTCTTTATGGTTTGGTGACTTGGAAGGCAGCTGCCTTTTGAACTTGACTAGCAGTTACCCTAATAACATGGAGAACATGCACTGGGGATGTGAGCCCTAGTGTCTTGGGAGGTTCAGAAAATAAAGGGGAACTTCATGCAGGCTGCAGTCTGCTTCCTAATACTATACCCTGCTATTAAAGAGAGAACTCACGTGCAGCATGGCAGAGGTTTTCAGGAATGTGTTGGCTGCTCGGCTCCAGTCAGATCTGTAGTGAGTTGACACCAGGTCTCCTGGGTCATCCTGAAGATCACTGCCTTGCTAGGAGGAATGTTTCCAGCTTAGCATGCTTCCTCACCTCTTGGTTTTGGAACTGAGCTGATTCTACCCTACTAGGTGCTGCTATTTTATATGATTGGGGTTAGTCTTAGAGAGGAGGGCAAGAGTCTAAATGGTGGGCAGAGGAGAAGGATGGACAGACAGAAAAGGAGGTGACAGCAGTGGTCATGCAGTAACTTGTGGCTGAGCTGGCAGTGTAAAACCAAGTGCTTTGAGTCCAAGGGCAGCCACCACAGAGCTGCAGTGTCTGCCCCAGCTCTGTGCACACAGCGCTGCATTGTTCCGCAGACACCAGCCTGGATTTTGTCTCTCTTTGCACCCAGTCGCAGACATAAAAGAGGAACTGTGTGGCTGGACCTGGCACTTCAGCTGGGCTGTGCTGGGGTGGATGGCTGGTCTCACTTCCTAGCAGCTGCTGGTGGTGGTTCTACAGCAAAGAAACATTTAATTCTGTAGACATAATGGAAATGGCCACTTGCAGAAAAGGTTATTGCCGATTTACATGGGTAGAGGCTTCCTTGAACCCAGTTACTAAGATAATGCTGTAACCACACAGGAGTGCAGAGTCCCTCTGGCCCTTTCTCGTCTCTCCCCAGCTCCTCTTGATGCTTTTTATACCCCCCTCCTCCTTGCCTCTGCACTGATTCAGGCTGAATCTTGTTTGCTTCGCTGACTCCCAGCTTGCTGCTGTGATGCTGGTGGCTCTCATTCAGAGCAGGCTTAAAACCATTCATGAGAAAGTCAGTCCATCAACAAAGATGGGCACTCCCCTGTGGTGAGCTCCTCTTCCCAAGCTTTTAAACCCTTCTGAAGTCCATCAGGCGTCTCTGCCTGCAGTGGTGTGTGCAGCTACTGTTGGGCTGACAGCCTGGTTTGCCAGGGCTGGCTCTGCTTCCCTGCAATGCTGGATGGGATCGTCTCTATTGTTCTGATGGGCTTTCTGAAGGGGGTCTCATTGGAAGTGCAGGAAGCAAAGCTGCCAAGTCCTTCATGTGTCTTGCCAGTTAGCACAGAAGGGAACAGCTGTTCACTCCTCAGCCTACGTTGTGTGTTATAATGTGGTTTATTATTTTGCTTTCCCCTTTGGGCTGCAACTATTGTTTGTCATCTCTTTGCTGCTGAGAGGATGGGCTCCTGTGAG